TGAATTGTATGTGTAAATAGGCATCCTAAGTTTGCAATGCTACTATAATAGTTTCAATAATAAATGCCTCCTCCTCCGGTTCGTCAGTGGTAAGTCTAAGGGCTTGTAACACTAAAACTCGGGTTTGGATTTACACGTTGAGCAGAGCTCGTATAGCCCACAGTGTAGATTTGTGCACAACGAACAAACACACACGTACATATATATCTATATATATATATAATTTTTTTAAAATTACTTTCAGTGTGAGGAAAAATGTGTTATGTCATATTTATTATGGTTTAATATAGTAACTATATATTTCTTTTTTGAGTGAGCTGAATGTATGATTATTATTATTATTATATCTTTTAATGATAAACAGCTGAATATTCAATTTGACGACAACGCAACTTCTACGTTTGAGTATCCCTCTGAAACTTGCCTTCCCTCCCCTACAATAAGCGATTCTAGCAGTCCATCGTGTTCACCTACTGATGAGTTACAAAGGGAAGTTGTACAGACTCAGGAACCCAAGTCAAGTCTGACCTATGGAGCAGGAGGTAAGTTGCATGTGGAGATTTATATTTGTATAATGGTGAAAGGGTTAAATAATTAAATGGCGGGATTTCCACTTCAATTTGCAAGTACGTTATACAATTTGCTAAAATCTGTGCAAGCAGGTAGAACAAATGCCCCCCTCCCTAACAGTCATTGTGGGAGCCCTCACATTCTTGTCGAAATAACGAAGAAATGTATAAATTTACTCCCTAATGGGCAATGAAAAATTCTACTGTCTCTTCTCGCCTATGTCTGCTGAGTTCATTTCACCAACTGACAAGAGACATGAATTTTTTTTTATTTCACTAATGAAATCCATGGGTCCCTAAATACCCCCAAACCCCGCCACCCCTTTTCCCTCATATGAGACCGTAGAACTGCCCCTGTGTAAATGTGCTTATTTGGTAAAATTCAAGAATTATCCAGATTGTACAAGTTAAATTACGAGCACACTTTTTCATTTACCAGAGGAATGACTTAACATTAATGCAGCTTAATGACATGTTTTTAATCTAAATAGGAGCCCGTTTCTAAATCTATATTCTGATGAGACTTCGGTGTTTTGGTTAATATTTTATATTAATAATGTTGAAAAGTTGTTAAACTACTTATCGCCCCCTCCCTAAAACTAATTATCAAGTAAAACCAGTGATCTGAATTCATGAAAATCTGAAGTAACAGTTCTCACCAAAAGGAATGAAAGCCAGATAACCAATCGATTACCGCAAATAACGCAGTCAGTTTCTTCAATATATTGTTGCGTCATCGAGTCACATGACTACTGTGACGCAACGTTTC